ATTGTATTATATCTACAAGTATAATATTATTGTATTATATCTACAAGTATAATATTATTGTATTATACAAGTATAATATTATTGTATTATATCTACAAGTATAATATTATTGTATTATATCTACAAGTATAATATTATTGTATTATATCTACAAGTAGCTATTTTATTACTGTAACTTTCATGTTTCTGTATCATTTGCTGTTGTACTTTGATTGCACATGTGCCAAGTAAATCTACATGAAAAGGTTGGAGTTCTATATTCTATATAAAGATGCTTTTTATGTTATTTTCAGAGATACAATCTCAAATAAGGCAAGAGAAGCTGTAAAGAACATTTAAATCTTATATAGTCAACTAAATTGTATTGAAGTTTTATTATTGACTACTAAACTAAAGAGTTTTAATTTTAAATATTTTAACATTAACACTTAACAGATAAATTATTATTTTACAGTATTTTAAAAAGAATTTTGAATTTTTTTTGTGTGTATGTCTAAACATTTTGTAAATACATGCGTCCCTACACAACATTATCAGAAAATAAGATTAGTAAAGTAAATATAGTAAATTTTAAATTTATTGGCAATTTTCTAACATTTCCTCAACAAGTGCCTTTGTAAGTAAGACTTTAAAAAGACAAAGTAAAATTCAATAAAATATTGGAATGATTACATGGTAATTAAAAAAATTACATCCAAAAAACGTCAATATGAACGACTTTATTGACAATAAAAAAAAAAATGATTCCAATGAATAAATTAAGTTTGAAATGTGGCAAAGTATTTTGCTTATTGGAAATATTAAAATATTTATTAGCTTGGGATTTAAAACTAAAAATAAACACTTCAAGAAAGATTTTTCATTTTTAAAATAAAACTTAGGTATCGCTTTTTTTTTGGAAGTAACTATACACGAGGGATGCTGAAAGTTTCCCCAGCCTGGTTTTAATGAGTGTTTTTGGGGGTTTTTTTTTTATTTTATTTTATTATTATTATTATTTAAATAAAAAAAAAATAAAAGGTGGGATCTTTCACCAGATTTTGATCTTTTATATATTTTCCAACATCAATGTTTGTTGTATCTTTTTCTATCACACAAGCCATACAGAAAATTGATCATTTTTACTTGTATCCTCCGAATTACTCAGGACAGGAGATGTGATAAGCAGCATATTTGAACAGTGCAAGTGGTTTCATTTCATGCTGAGCAATATTCAAAGAATGAAAAGCTTTTTAAATTTTTTTTTTTTTTTAATAATTCAGAGAGTGTTCACAGATTCTAATTCCAGACTATCACTGTAAAACAATTTGTCACTAAGGAACAATCAATAGTTCAATACAGTTACGGTACACTATTTAAATTCCAAGCTGAAACTTGCAAATTCAACCACATCAAAAATCTTGCACAGCAAGTCATTATTACACTAATGCTCATGATTATTATATATATTTTTTATTTTTAACTTGATCAGTGTTGGTTTTGTTTTGATGATAAATTAAATTCTAGGAAAAGGTGCTGAAAAATTCTCAACCCAACAAAGAAAGGAGAGAAAAAAATCTGATGATTGGATTTTAAAAAATGGGTTCGATCAAAAACTTTTCAGCACCTTCTCGAAGAAACTGCCTTAAGTTTTAATTTTCACTCCAGTAAAAATAAAATCTATTCTAAAACTGATCTGATCTAATTTTTCTTGAAGTCACTTAACCTATCTTGCCTAAATTCTTTCCTTTGTTTTTTGGGATTTTTTTTTACCATCATGCACATATGCTGTGAATTCGTTCATGTTTGAAAAAAAAATATTACAAGTATTTCCTACCCAAGCTCGATACATTTATCAATACACACACAAAAAAAATACTATAAAAATACTTTCTTAGCATTTCACAATTTGTGATTTTTTTTTTTTTTTTTTTTTTACAAACATTTTTCTAAGGAATGAAAAAATTTATTCAATCAATGAACATTCTGATTTGGCTTTTCATGTTCAACAAGGGATGTATTCTCCACCAGGATATTCGCCTTTTTTGTATCACTTGGATGATTCTAAATAGACACATGAACTAGCAGATTTAAACTCATTAAAGTAGTAAACTAGTGTTTTTATTTTAAATTTAAAAAGGATATTTGATTTCCTGGCAATCACGAGTTCAATCCCTAGGTCGGGTAGTGCAAAAGAATCGCATACTATGATTTAAGAAACGGGCAAGCGATAGAAAGATGAATAAAAAAAAAAAAAAAAAAAAAAAAAACTTGAGTATTATTAACTTTATTAGGTGATGGGAAATATCCCTTTAAGCATGGAATATATTGTCATTTTTTTATTTTACCCTTCGCTTCAAGAAGGTTACGGAGTACAGACATCCGAAACGTTGTCATTTCATACAACCAAGATGAATACGAGATCGAATGGGAAGATAAAACATATTCCTCATCTAAAATAAATAAATATAATATAAATTAAAATTATCATCTAGAGATGCTAGGAAAATTCATACTGAGAAAGAAATGAAAAAGTAATTAGTCTTTTTTTTTATATATTGATTAAACTAAACAGCCATGCCCGTTTATTGAAAATGTTTTCTCCATTGAAATCAGTTATTAAACGTGGACTATAGAACCGGCCTCTAAAACTTTTTTTTTTGTTTGTTTCTGCATAAAAATGATAATCTTCCATCTTTTAAGAAAGACGAACGTTGAAAGATCTTTTTTTAATTCATAATGAGAAACGTTATCAACAAAAATTGTCAATTGTTAAATAAATTATTTTCTTGCTTTTTTAAAAAATATATTTTTAGTTTACTACACCTTTGATTTTACAGCACTATTACATTTATTAAATCAAATGATAGAAACCCAAAACAAATTTTATACAAAAAAAAAAAATGCATAAAAAAGTGTCTTTATGAAACAGAAAGGTGCGCTTTTTTTTAGTCATGTGATCACACCTTAAGCAAGTGCAAGAAGAATCGCTTTATTTTCAAATATTTTTCCGCTTTTATTAAAATCGTATACATGAAATCGCTTATTTCACCCTGAAAATATATATATAAATATATTATTGATAATGTTATAAAACCGATATTAAAATAAAATAAAAAAACTATATCTTTAACTTAAAAACAAAATGATTAATTTTCGTAAATCTCGTCTGGAAAGCGGAAATTCAAGCATGGACGAAGGAAGGATTCTTCTTCAAAATAACAGAGTCACAAAGGAACATTAATAATTCCTTAACGCTCGTATAAGAATAAAAATCCAAGCATTTTGCAATTGCCACTGTTTAACTGAAACAATCTGTATAGTCAACAAGATTTGATTTCTTGTGATTGAAAATAAGAAAATCAAGTACAACAGGTTCCGTTAATTTCTGATGGTTCGTTTAAAAAACCGGCTGATTTCATGATCGGTTCATTTTTACTACGGATGACAAAAACAGTCAATATTGCTGGCCTAGTTCACGTGTATGGAAAACCGTCTAGTAACGATCATTCTAATTTTAACCATAAACCGAAAAAAGAAACAAAAAAAAAAAAAAAAAAAACGAAAAATTCAAAATAATAAAATTAAAAATTATTGTAAAATTGTGCTTATTTTGAACTTAAAATTTTATTAAGAAGAAGTATTTACGTTCGATTTTTCTTTCACTTTAAAATTTATAAATAAACATAAAAAAATACGTCTCTTTCACTTTGTAAGAATATTGAGATTCTTTTAATTAACTTCAGTTTGGTTTATCCTATTGACTTTCTTTATTCGATTAGAAATCAGACGAGTTTATATAACAAAGTTCCAACCTGAAAAATGTAAAAAAATCTACAACTTATCAGACAGAAATTAACGCCCACCAGAAGACAAGTTTTTACTACAATTTCTACCATACAACTCAAGCTTTGTCAGAAAAATGTTAGTTTTTGTGGGTGGGTCTGCTTGGAAAAGCTGTGGAAAAAAAAAGTATGGACCTTCTAGCAGACGTCTGCTTAACATCCACATCAAATATTGTTTGTTTTTTTTTTTTTTACTCTCTGCAATTAAGGTGATATTAATTTTAAAAAATGTATTTTTAAAAAAGATAAAAAAAATACTACTACTATTGAATTGGAAATACTTGTAACTTCTGGATTGGAAATAAAATAAAAAAAATTAAAAAAAAGATAGATTTTTGGAAATTATTTACCAGTAACTCGGTTAAAAATTAATTGAGAAATAAATTTTATTTTTTTAGTGTAATATTTTTATTTTTATAACAAATAAAATAAAAAAATACCAAGGAAAAAAAATATGATCTAATTAAAAATAAAAATGTCAAAAAGCAAAAGCGCAGAAAAGTTTAACACTCCCCGCCATCCTTACAATAAAAATCCAATATTTGTCAATTTTTATACTGAAACTGATCGAAGTACCCGATTATTTTTTTTAGATCTATTATTTAAAAATATTTAAAATAAAATAAAAAAAAACACCACACATCATCACATGTGCATGTGCTCTTTAAATACTTTTTTCTTTTGATATTTTTTTTTTTACACTTTTTTCTGGAAAATGGGCCTTTTCTTCTTACTTACAAAACTTTCAATATGTAAATGAAATTTTCAGTTTTCTGATTTATTTTAAAAATTAATAATATCAATAACGATTTTTTAGACAAATATAGCTCAACTTAGTGGTATTGTCAGCATAGATTGAGGCCAAAGTTTTTGTCTTTTAGTTCTGTTTCAGCAAAAAGTAAAAAGGCCTAACCCTACCGACGTTTTGCAAGACTGTCCATCTTAATTACTGTCTTTAAGAAAAAATGACAGTGTTTCAAAGACTAAGAAATTCGTAGACTATTCACAACATCTACAATCTACATTTATTTTTCATTCATATTTTTTATTATTAATCAACTCCTTTTTAGATTTTCCTAAACAGATCCAAGGTTCGCGAAAATAAAATATTGTACATATAATTTTCACTAGAGAAATAATATTTTTGGATTTTTTATGCAATAATACGAATCCAGTTTAAGGAAATATTTTGATCATAATTTTGTAACTTACCTGTGAGTCATCAGCGTGTTTAACAAAATAGCTGCCGCTAGATCCCTGGGAAATTCTTTCAGGTAAGTTTCCTAGTTCAATGGCCGCTTCGGCTTGCCGAATATAATCGTGAAACTCGGGGTCGTCAGAGAAATGATTGTCAAATAAGCCATACTCATAGTCCACTCGATTCAACAGAGGGGAGCTTTCCTTATTTCCAGTACCTCGGGTTGGAGATCGGGGATGTCCCCCGCCCATGCCTGCGGTTCCAGGAGCAACAACAGAACCAACACCGGGACGGTAAGGGCCGGCAGGAGCAAATTTTACTTCGATGCCTAATTCGTTGTCGTCAGTCGTGTTTGTGGCATTGGCGAGGGTCGTCGCCCCGTTGGAAGAAGGGAAGAGGTTCCCATCACCGACCAGCGGACTTGGTTCGGCATCAGACTCAAGTAAAACATTAGTCAGATCCCTGCCCTCCTGAGTCATTCACAATTAATTTAGAGCGGGATTTCTAGTCCCCTATCAACGAAACAAAACAAAACGAAAAAAACAAAAGGAAAACGGACACTTAATCGACGTAAATGGAAAAATAAATGAAACTGGGTGACAAAAAAGCAAATATGAAGAGCCTAACGCACAACAGAGAAACCAGAAATCAACTAAAACACAAAATATTTCATTTGATGACAATAACACGAAAGGTAAATACAAGTGTCTTCTTGTTGTTTTGTTAGACTTGCCTACTCTACCGGTGTGTTTATGGTGGTGGTATTTTTTTTTTTTTATCGACTAACATGAAACGGAAACACGCAGATCGATCTTTTGGGGAACTTTTACTTTTCTTGTTTTTTTTCCTTTCAGAAATTTAAGTCAATGTTATCCAATCTTTTCATTCCCCCCTATAATTCCACTGGAAGACGACAAGTGGCCATAAAAGCAGGTGATGCATCAAGTGTAAAGCTGCTGTGTTTCCTAACTTTCGTATCTTGAAATTCTTCGAAACCCCCTTTATCACGAAAAAGTTTATTTCAAAATTCTGACTACTTCAAATTCTTCAAGAATGACAAATTTATTCTATACAATGAAGAGATAAAATATTTTAAGCAAATAATTTGCGCACACGCTTTTAAATTGCACAAAACACATTGCAGAAAGATGCGCATGTATTTAAATACGAAACTAAAAATGTCAATGCCACACGTCAACCATTCACTTTACATCCGGCATCGGTGTCTGCTCCACGCACCATGCTTCGCTAATTTTCTTTTGATATTCAATAAATAGAATTATAAAATATATAAAAAGTTTGACATATTTGTTGCTTATGAAAATATTTAATTTTTTTGTTTTTTTTAGTTAATTTACAAGATAACTTCTTATATAATATTCTTAAAATACGTCTAGAATAGATGTAAACAACAAACCGGTGACACAGCAATTTTTTGATTGTGCATTGATACTTATTTCTAGTAAAAGCTCATATGAGGATTTATTTTTATTCTTAAGCAATTTAATTTATTACTTAATTCTTGTTGAGCAGATTAAATATTATTTTACTAGTACGAATATTCATAACAAGCTGGAATTTGACTGGAAGGAAGAGAAACGTTTCTACTCTTTTTTAATTTAAATTTTGTTAAAAAAATATTCACTGAAAGTCTTCCTTGTTGGATGAATTATTAGCGACTTTGATAAATTATTTGTAATAATTATTATCTGTTTTGCGTTGGAATTTGTGATACCATATTTATTTTTTATGATTCATTTATTTTTAATTTTATGGATGTACAAAATAGCATAGCGGTCGAGTAAACCGTTAAACGGCTAAAAATGAAATCAACGAGTCAAGTTCAAGTTCTCTACCTGTTCACTACCTCTTCCTTCTCCCCGTTAGTAAAAGAGAAGAACAATTATGTGGAGACTGTAACGGGAAACGATTTCTACCTACTATCTTTCCGAAGAAGCCATAGCAATTGAAAGATACTAACTGAAGAAAAGGAATCCGTGAAGAGCCGTAATCACGTACATCCTGGATGTTCGAGAAATTTAATAGAAAATATGCTCTCTTCTTTCTCTGTTGCTGAATGGTAATGGAAAATCGAGCCATTTGGCCGTTCCCATAAAGGGTTACAGTAGGCTTGATTCGTGGCTAAGTAATCCAAGTGATTTAAAACTGACCTACAACAGAGAGCTCTATATATTTGTTATAGAGCATAAATGAATTACATTATAAAAATGAAACTCAATTGTACTCCATTTTTATGGTCATTTCGCTCCTTGGGATAAATTCCCTGGAGCTTGTCCATACTAAAACGTTTGACAAAAAAAATTATATATATATATATATATATATTAAAGAAAAACAAAACTGTTGGTGGAATGAACGGACAATTTGCCAAAAGACCTAAATACCATTAAGATAAAATCTCGAACAAGGACAGCAATAAGAAAAAGATCTAAAAACAAACACCTACCTATTTAGTAAACGTAGTTGTGGGGTCCGAATGTCAATGTTAGACAAATCCCACAAACATTAAAAGTGACACAGGCCAAGGCAAGGATAATGAAAACAAGAAGTTTAGATAAATATGCCAAAATTTATTATTGGCAAAAAATGCAATCAAAGAATCCAGATGTTTAAATACCTTGGGTGGTTATGCTGGTAGTTAACTGTTAGTGTTAGATGTGACAACAATTGATGATGACTCGAGCAATTTGAGTGATGCCGAAGGTTGATAGACAGTTGCTGTATTGTGTTGGTACTAGCTAGTAGTCATAGTCCAGGGCAGCTGGTTGTTGGGAGGTGTTGAAAGGATGATAAGCAGTCAGCGAAGATTGATAGACAGTCGGCGTGTTTGAGCTGGTATTAACAGGCAGTCATAGCCGAGGGTAAGCAGTTGAAACCATGGTGATCCGCAAGATGATGGGCAGCAGGGAGTGAAAGCTGAATTGCCGAGTGGATTAGAAGAAGACATGGTCGGCGGGAGTCAGTTGGAGTCACCATAGGTAAGCCAAATTTTTGCTTGTAGAGAATATTGTTGAAAAAGAAGAAGCATTGGTTAGTGATTAGTTTGCATATTTTAATAATTTTGTGGATGGGTTACAATGCAAAATATGTTTATGACCTAAAAGCCCACATCTCTGAACACAAGAGAGACTTGCGTTTGAATAAACAATCTCTCTCGATTTGCATAGAAACGATGCTGGGCATAAATTTGATTTCACTAACGCCACCCTAATTAAAAAAGAACATAATTCTTTAAGGAGAAAATACATTGAAAACTTAATAATAACATTATTACCAACGATAAATACGGGCCTAAAATATTACATTATATCACCGTCTTTCTTTGAATCTATTCTTAAAGAATGTAATACAATGAATACATGCTTTAAAAAAATCAGCCATAAATTAGAATGATGTGACACACTAATGCACTGGCTTGACCACACAAAGGTGAAGACATTAGAATTCTCACTAAACAATCGCACATACACAATTACAAACACACATTACCATTCGATGCCCACTTAGACATACAAGAATCTTCATAAACTTGCAAACATACTATTATCTACGATTTTAATGCACGTGACATGTGACTGACAAATGAGAACTGACCCAAACAAAACTGAAAATACCAGATGTTTTGTCTTTTTATCTGTTTTCTCTCAATCTCTGACAAAAAAGTGAAACATGTTATTGATTCCTATTTAGATTGTTTCCTATTCTTCATTTTACGAACAATTGAAAAATTATTGTAAACGTAAATTCAATAAAAACTTGAGAAAAGACAAGAATGCTGCATACTTAATATAAAATTGCTAAATATATCACATAATATTTTTTACGAGAATTAACAAAACATCTGAACATACAAACTTTGACGCACAAAGGTTTGCCACCATGATTTTATTTTAGAAACGTATTTGAACCAAGGGAGGTTACTTAATTTTGTAAATCTTCAGAGTTCGCTCCCTTGTACACTGCGTAAAGACGATTTTTCTTGTATGGAAATCAAAAAAATAAAACCCATATTATAATTGTTCGTTTATAAAAGTATTTTCTCTTTGTATTTATATGGTATATGGAAACAGGGGATTTATTGTGAATACTTTTTTTTATATAAATCCCCTACACACATGCCACCAATCTACCATTGGGTGACATGTCACTAGAGTTTGCTGCTGCTGGCCCGCTGTCAGGTTGCTGGCATGTTCATCTCAGCAATGTTACCATTGGTGAATGTTAACATTGGCGGACCGTTAGAGGCTCACCAGTGGCTACCACCAGAGGACCACTGGCGTTTCCATCGGCATCCCACTAACGATTTGCATGTAGGCTTATAGCATCCAGAATTTACTGTGTTAATAAACATATGTTATGAGTTGATAGGGCATTTTCTGAAGATATTTTAAAAAAAGGAATCATTTCTTTATTAAATTGTGAAAATATGCAATGATGCTAATACAAGATTTGATTGGTGAATATTAATTTTTCGAGTCCAGATAAATACTAAAACTGATCTTATTCTTGAAACTATTTAGACATTAACTCAGTTAAACAAACTGATATGTTTTTGTATGAATTTTACTTATAGTGCTTAAAAAAAAAAAATTAACCATATCCTGGTGTTAAGCACACCATTTACTTTGTCAGATGATCCCTCCATACTTAGCATAACTGTCAAGATTGTGGTTCAGAGGTGTCCTGAATGCCAGTCTATCTGGCACCAGTGTACTGGCAGAATGGAAGACTAGCAGTTTGCAATATATAGTCCAGGCTGGGGATGGATATTACACATTATGCCTGCAGTCATTATTTGTTCAGCGACCCATAATGTGACAAGATTCAGTAAGCTTTATTCAGCAGTTGGTGTTGATATTTTGTGAGAGAGGTCTGCCATACAAAATCCTCACAGACAACAATAACGTGTTCACCAGGTCATTCAAAGCTTACATGGATAAATGGCGTGTCCAGCTGCACTTTCAATGCACACATGTAGAGTCTGGAAATGTGATAATAGAAAGGTGCCATAGGAGCATAAAATGGATTGTGGCGCTGAAGCAGTACCCTGTACACAAAACCATTTACTGGTATAATGTGACACTAAAGGATGATACATTGAGACTAACTGCACTAGGTAACTCATGAGCGTGTGGCCAAGTGGTTAGAACATTCGCATTCTGACCATGAGACCTGAGTTCAAATCTCACCATGGTGGATTTGTCAGGAAAGAGATTTCCTGATATCATCGGACTTTGGGGGGAGCGATCCCAGTGTGCGGCACCTTTGGAAAGTGTCTGAAAACCATACCACGGGTTGACCCAAGCCTTGTGAGTGAAACTGAGTAGACGGATCCCTTGAGCCCGTTGATAGATATGGTAGTACAAAGTCACAAGACATCGTAACCAAGGGAATAAGTGTGCTAGCCTTCTTCAAATTGTTGATCACACTAGATAACATGCTCTTTCCCAGAAACTGT